AGGCAAGGAAACAACAGCAACAAAAAACTACAGACCAATATTATTAATGAACATAGATGCAGAAATTCTCAAGAAAATACTAGCAAGGGCCAGGCATGGTGGCACATGCCTATAAGGAGGCAGAGACAGGATGATGGAAAGTTTTAGGACAGCCTCAGCAACTTAGCAAGGCCCTGTTATATAATCAAAAACAAAAAGAAAAGAAAATACTAGCAAGCTAAATCCAACAGCACATTAAAAAAGATTAGTCACCATGATTAAGTTAGATTCATCCCACTGATGTAAGGATGGTCCAACATACACAATAAATATGACACACCACATCAACAAAATGAGAGACATCTATCTTCTCAAAAGATGTAGAAAGGCACTGATAAAATTCCACATCCCTTCCTGATAAAATGCTGAATAAATTAGGTATATCAGGAATGTACCTTAAAATAATAAACGGACTTTATAATTAGCCAATAGCTAATACTACTGAATGAAGAAAAGCTGAAAACTTTCTCATTAGAACAAGAGAAGGATGCCCCCTCTCACTACTTTTATTCAACATAATACTGGAAGTCCTAATCAGAGCAATCAAGCAAGAGGTAGAAAGAGTACCCAAATTGAAAAAGCGGAAGTCAAACTGTCATCATTCACAGGTGATATGATTCTTATATATAGAAAACCTCAAAGACACCACCAAAAGATTATTAGAAGTAATAAATTAATTTAGTGAAGTTGCAGGATACTAAATTCACATACAAAATAAGCAGCATTGCTATATGCCAATACTGAATTATCTGAAATAGAAATCAGGACAGCCAGTCCCATTTATAATAGATACAAAATCTAGGGGCAAATTTTATCAAAGAGGTTTTGAAAGAGGTCTAAAATGAAAAACATAAATAAATTAAAGAGGGCAAGAAACATAGAAAGACATTCCTTCCTTAAGGAATAGAAAAATCAATATTGTTAAAATATCCATACTACTAAAGTAATATACACATTTGATGTAATCCCATTCAAAATACCAATAACATTATTCACAGAACTTCACAGAACAGGACAAAACCACCCTAAAACTTGTATGGAACCACAACAGGACCCTAAATATATATTCTCAAAAGAAGGCAGACAAATCGCCAACAGGTAGATGAAATGATGCTCAACATCACTAATCATCACTGAAATACAGATGAGATATACCTCACTCCATTAAGAACGGCTATTATCACAAAGTAAAAAATTAACAAGGATTGGCAAAGATGTGGAAAAAAGGCAATCCTCTCACACTGTTGTTGTGAATGTAAATTAGTACATCTGTTATAGAAAGCAGTATGAAGGTTCTTAAAAAATTAAAAATAGAACTACCATATGACCCAGCAATTCCACTACTAGGTATATATCCAAAGGAAATGAATTTGGTTATGTCAAAGAGACAACTGTGTTTATCACAATACTATTCACAATAGCAAAAAAGACAGAAATGGGCTAAGTTTCCATTAGTGGATGAAAGGATAAAGAAAATGTGATATATGCACAATGGAATAATATTCAGCCATAAAAAGGAAAGAAACCCCATCATTTGTGACAATACGGACAGATACCTAGGTCATTATGTTAAGTGAAATAAGTCAAGCGGAAATAAGTCAATGAGGAAAAGCTGAAGACTCTCTCAGTAGAACAAGACAAGGATGCCCCCTCTCACTACTTTTATTCAACATAATACTGCACAGAAAGTCAAATGCTGCATGATCTCACTCATATGTACAATCTAAAAAAGTTGATCTCATAGAAGTTCAGAGTGAAATGGTAGTTACCAGAAGCTAGGGAGAAGGATGAGGAAAGATTGATCAATGGGTAATAAAGTTACAATTAAAGACTAAGAAGTTCAGGTGTACTAGTGCACAGTAGAGTAACTATAGATTAACAAATATGTACTGTATATCTTAAAAGGCTAGTAGGGCTACAGTTGTAGCTTACTGGTAGAGCACTTGCCTGACATGCACAAAGCCCTTGGTTTGATCCCCAGAACTGCATACATAGATAATAGATAGATAGATGTAAATAAAACTACTCTGAGCACAATATTACAATAATAAATAAAGATTAGAATGATTTTGAATATTTTCACCATAAGGAAATGATAAATGTTTGAAGAGATATGTTAATCTGATATAAACATTATACAGTGTATACATGAATTAAAATATATGGCATCCCATCAATGTAATTGGGGGGGGGGGGTACCAGGGATTGAACTCAAGGGTATTTAACCACAGAGCCACATCCCCAGCCCTATTTTGTATTTTGTTTAGAGACAGAGTCTCACTGAGCTTAGCACCTCACTTTTGCTTAGGCTGCCTTTGAACTCACAATCCTCCTGCCTCAGCCTCCAGAGTTGCTGGGATTACAGGCATGTACCACCAAACCCAGCCATTTCTTTACTATTATCATTTTAATGTTTTTAGTTATAGATGGGCACAATAGCTTTATTTTATTTATATGTGGTGCTGAGGATCGAACCCAGTGCCTCACACATGCTAGGCAAGCACTCTACCACTAAGCTATAACCCCAGCCCCCCAGTCACTTTTATATCATCAAAAGATGTGGGAAAAATACTCAGAGAGATTTAAAGTATACAAAATAACTAGGGCTAGACTTCATGTTCTTCCTGTTTCCTCAGTCTAGTGAAAACACAAAAGCATCATACTAAGTGGTAGTTTACAAATTTGTTATTATATACATTTTATGAGAATATGACTGTTGATCAAATTATGTCTATAAAAAGCTTATAATATGGATGTCAGTCATGACCACCATCACATTTTTCTTCCATAAAGTTTTTTAAAAACAAAACAGATGTGGAAGCTAACCTACAATAAGAGGGAGGGATTAAAAAAAGAATAGAAGTTTAGTGGAGTAGATGAAGGAGAATGAAGGGAAGGGGGAAAGGATGGGAAAAGGAAAGACAGTTGAATGAATCTGATATAACTTTCCTATGTACATATGTGAATATACCAAAGTGAATCTCACCATCATGTAATAATTTTAAAAAATATGAATAAATGGCAGGAAGATCAGTAGAGAGAAGGGAACAGGGGTTTGGTGGAAGGATGGGAAAGGAGAGGCACTGGGAACTAGATTAGAACAGTATATATTTCATGCTTTTATAATTATGTCAAAATGGATTCTACTGTCATGTATAACTAAAAAGAACCCAAAAAGTGTACCTGTGGCATATATGAAAATAACCTACATGTAATGCCACTCAAGTCTCTCCCTATTTTATTTTTTTTAATTGTTTTTTTTTTAGTTGTTGATGGGACTTTATTTATTTGTATATGGTGCTGAGAATCGAACCCAGTGCCTCATGCATGCTAGGCAAGCACTCTACAACTGAGCCACAACCCCAGCCCCAAGTCTCTCCCTATTCTTATGATCAATTCTTAGAGAACATTTATTATGATTCCTAATGCAACCTCATTCTGGGCATAAACTTTATTTTTAACTCCAGTCTTAAATCTCCAGAAGCCATCATGTCACCAGCATTTTTTTAACCTTTCTATTGTTACCTCCTTAGCATCCCACTGTTTTCATAAGTTGATGCCACTTTGTGAGTGTCCTATTCCCCAATGCTGTTAAATCCTGGAATAGAGCTTAGTTATTATGCATTTTATATAAGGGTGATCATTTACATGAAATCTGTGGTAAAACCTATGGTGAACTAGGTAACTTCTTCTGTATATTTCAAAGAATCAAATTTATTTAAAAAATGTGATTTAGAATTAAAATTCCAGGAATGTTCCAAATTATTTAAAACAGTCTAAATTGAAACAAGTGTACATTTTATAATTGCATAAGATCACTCTGTCAGGCAATGTTCTTTATACGAAGTTTGAGCCATCTTTGAACTTTAAAAAGTCTTTTATATAAACAAGTTATTTGCACAAATACTTTGATAGAGATATATAGGGTGTAAGTACTATAATCTCAATGATGAAACATGTATTTATCTCCTTAGATGACAAATGTAATTTTCACAATCATTAAGACTATAGTTAAAATAATCATGGGAGTATCTTCAAATAACTAGAATTAACCCTTTACTCAGAAAGAGTTAATAGTGGTGAACAGATTGGATATTTTTTACCCCACAAGTATCTGATATTCAAAGTGATAAATGCCAGAAAAGCAGACTTTTCATATAAATTCATTTAACTAACAATTATCAAATAACTATTTTATGTTGGAATCTGTGCTGGACCTACATTTTCAAGTGAAAGATAGGTTTCTTAGATGTAATTACTGTATTTTTATATTATTCTCTTGATACTTTTATATTATTCTCTTGATACTTGATGCAGCATGGCAGTACAAATCTTAGTATAGTATTCAGGATACAATAAGCACTAAATATATATTTATTTGACAAATATCAAAATACCAAAATTCACAAGACTTGTAATTTTAGCTGATTCTACTCTTGCCCACCCCTTTCCCCACCTTCTACTTAGGAGTGGTCAGACATCAATAAGTACCAAAGCACCAGGCACGGTGGTGCACAACTGTAATTCTAGAAGCTTGGGCAGCTGAAACAGGGGGATCACAAGTTCAAAGCCAGCCTCAACAACTTAGCAAGACCCTAATAAAATACAGAAAAGTGGCTCATGTCCCTGGGTTCAATCCCTGATGCAAAAAAAAAAAAAGTACCAAAGCAAAATCAACAAATTCAACACAAATTTTCATACTCCTGATGAAGAGACAAAGGAGAAATAGAGGGGAATTAATGCTCTTACAATATAGTAAGAAGGGAATTCATCTTTATCTTTATATCAACTGGCAACATGTAAGAATTAAAAAAAAACAATATATGTTAAAGGAGTAAATAAATTAAAATGTTGGCTTTCAAAGTCAGACAAGGTTTAAACTGCCAAAATATGCTAGATTAAATATTAGCAGACCTGTATTATAATTTCCTAAATTTACATTCTTTTTTTGTTTACATTACCTAAGCCAGAAAGAACTTTCTTGATATTTATTATGCTTGTGGGTTTCTACTCCGAAGTTGTAACAGAGAACATGAAGATATCCTGTCTGTAGTAAAAAAAAAAAAGAATAACATGTCAGATTCATGATTTCCTTAAAGTTAAAAATAAGTATCAACAGCTGCTCAAAGTCTTTAAAACATGTCCATAATGCATTCTGTACATCAAAATAAACTTCCTTATCAAAACCTGTCAATTTATATAAAGAAAACTACAAAACATTCAAGTTAAAAATTACAATAGATTAGTAGTAGAATGTGAAACATGCTTTGTAACTTCAATGGAGAAATCCAATCACTGCACAGCAAAACAACAGGCTAAAACATTGATTTGGGTTGCCAGATCTAGGAAAAGGCGTTAAGTAGGAAGTAGACTCAAAGACAAAAGTTAGGGCTGGGGATGTGGCTCAAGCGGTAGCGCGATCGCCTGGTTATGTGTGCGGCCCAGGTTCGATCCTCAGCACCACATATAAACAAAGATGTTGTGTCCGCCGAAAACTAAAAAATAAATATTAAAATTCTCTCTTTCTCTTTAAAAAAAAAAGACAAAAGTTACTATTGAGGAGGGAAAAGAAATGATTCTTTTTTTTCAAAATTAAGACAACTTTTTAAAATTCTAAATTCTAAAATATGTTCAAAGAACTATCCAGTCATAAGGTTTATTTAGAAATAACAGGTTTAATGGACTTTCTTGAACAACAACAAAAATTTCCTTTTTATAAATTACCACGAAGATAAAAGTAGAAACAGATGTGTGAATAGTGAATGCCACAGGAAAGTACTCTTTTGTAGGCTAATCAGCATCTCAGTCCCTCCATTAATGTCACATTTTACAGAAATTTCACCCTTCAACATACTAGAAATGGAAGAAGAAAAATTGCTTAATTCTAATAAATTATCAAAATACCCCCTCACCTATCCAGAATTAAAGAAATCACATATACAGAATTTGATTATACTCATATAAAGGAGTCCTTTATAAGATTTACCTGAGGGGCTGGGGTTGTAGCTCAGCAGTAGAGCACTTGCCTACCATCTACAACTAAAAAATAAAATAAAGCGTTTAAAAAAAAAAAAAAGATTTACCTGAGCAGGACTACAGAAGCTGATCCTCAATTGAGAATCTGAAGCAAGTTATTTATAAGTAATCTATAAAGACCGATCTTTCTTCAAAAAAAAAAAACCCTTTCAACTTATAGTACATTCAAAAAGTAGAAATTCAATATGCATGCCTGAGCACATCAGACTTATATATATATATATGAATTTAAAAAAATATATATATATATATGAATTTAAATATATATATATATGAATTTAAAAAAAAATATATATATATGAATTTAAAAATATATATATATATATATGAATTTAAAATAAAGAATACTCTTGTTAATGTGTGCCTCCTATGAATCCAATGGTATTTAAATGCATTCTTAACACTTCAACAAAAACAGTTTAACTGGGGCCGGGGTTGTGGCTCAGTGGTAAAGCAGTCACCTAGCTTGTGTGAGGTGCTGGGTTTGATCTTCAGCACCACATAAAAATAAATAAATAAAATAAAGGTATTGGGTCCAACTACAACTAAAAATAAATATTTAAAAAACAGTTTAACTTATTATATGCCCCAGTTCTCATAGGTTCAAATAGGGCCGGCCAACAATATAGCTATACTGGAATAATGCAGCTCACACCCACTTGCAGAGGCCTACAACTAAATTTACACAGAGAAAATGGAAAATAAAATTTTTGATGAACATTTATGTGTACTGAGCCTTTGTTCAACTTCCTCAGTATTTGTCTCTACTCTCACAATACCTTCAAGTGTACTCATATTAAATGTTACTTCCTAGGGGAGAAAAGAATACAAAATAATAATAAACATATAACAATAAAACTATAAAAGACTAAAAGTGTTATGGTTTAGAATATGAGGTGTTTCCTGAAAGCTCATGTGTGAGACAATGCAAGAAAGAGGTAAATGTTTGGGTTATGATATCCTTAACCTAATCAGTGACCTAATCCTTCCTCTGATAGGAATTAGATGATAACTATAGGCAGGTAGGGTGTGGAGGTAGATCATTGGGGAAATGCCTTTGGGGTATATATTTTGTCAGTGGTGAGGGTAGTCTCCCTCTCTGCCATGTTCCTCGCTGCTTTCCTCCGCCACAGTTTTTTACCATGGTTTGTGCCCAGAGCAATGGAGTTGGCCATCTATCAACTGAAACTATGAGCCTCCAAATAAACTTTTCCTCCTCTAATTGTTCTTGTCAGGTCTTTGGTGGCAGTGGCAAAAAAGCTAACTTAAAAAAAAATCTCTCAAAAGACATGTACCAATGTGTGTGTGTGTGTGTGTGTGTTGCCGGGAATTGAAACCAGGGCCTTGTAGATGCGAGGCAAGCACTCTACCAACTGAGCTATATCCCCAGCCCCGTACTAATTTTTTTAATACAATGACTAAAAAAATGCTTTTACTACTAATACTGTTCCATTCATTTATTCTTTCAGTAACAACTATTTACCAAGCATCTCCTATCTAGTAAGTATTAATCTAGGAATTATAGTTAGATCATGGAACAAAAGGATAAAAATCTCTGTCCTTCTGAAACATTTTTAATGGGATATTGAAGTAAAAAAGGTTAATAAAAACATTTGTTTAAAGAAATATGTTGTCGGGTTGGGGATGTGGCTCAAGCGGTAGCGTGCTCGCCTGGCATGCGTGCGGCCCGGGTTCAATCCTCAGCACCACATACAAACAAAGATGTTGTGTCCGCCGAAAACTAAAAAATAAATATTAAAATTCTCTCTCTCTCTTTAAAAAAGAAAGAAAGAAAGAAATATGTTGTCCATGCAGTAGACCTTGGGTTTAATTCCCAGCACTGCAAAAATAAAGTAGAAGGAAGGATGGAAAGTCAGTCTAGCCTTCCATGGAATGCTAACATCTTACTTTGCCAGAAAATACAACAAAAGCATCACTAAGAAAGCAGATCTGTAAATCTATTGCATACTAGGTCTTATACAAAGGGACCTATGGGAACTCCAGGATACATGATATATCCAGAAACTTGAGTCATTGCTACATCAACTGGCCTGGAAATGACAGCTTCAACTTATGACAGCTCCATTTTACTTTAAAATGCCAAGACGAGACTATATAGAGGAAAATGAACTAAATCTGTTATTGCTGATACAAATGAGTTTGATAACCATTGAACCATCAGTTCAATACAAGGTTTTTTATTTTTAATTAACTAAATAGCTTCATTTTCTGAAACTTATTTTGTAAATTAGGTTTTTAAAATCCAGAAAAAGCAAACCTATTATTTTTCAGCCCCAAGTTTCCAGGCTATTTTCCCTTCTGATTTTGTTGTCTTTAAAACATTTATAGATAATGTATTTTTATATTTTATTCAATTATAACAGTGTAGAAATAATTAAGTGATAATTGCCTAGCTTTAAAACGTTTGCCTTTCAGCCCCTCCCTTACTCATTTGTCTCTAATCTTCAGATGGCTCAGTAATAATCCACATAGCTCCTTAGTTATTTCTCATGGTGCTCTAAAATACAAACATACATATCCAATTTCCAAATATTTTTCTCTCTGCCTCTGATTAATAATAGAGCATTACCTTCTGCCTAAATACCAACACCTTACAATAAAATGATTCCTAATCTAGTTTTGGGATACAGGAAGGATGTCTCAGGAAAAAAAAGAGTTGGTTTATTTAATTCATTAATTCATTTTAAGTGAATAACACTCTATTAGCTTCTCTTCAACCTTTACTGGATTGTTTCCTCTCATTATAAGATTTCCTGCTCTAAATTGTCAGGTCCCTTGTCTAACCCTTAAACCCATCAAAAACATACACTTTAAATAATTGCATTGACCTTTAGAATTAAAAGCATGACTTTCATAATAGTATAGTTCTATCAACCACCTTCCAGATAAAATACAAACTCTTAATTCTCAATGTATAACACTTCATTGGTAGTCCCATCCTGACAAAGGCACAATTCTGTTAAACATCATCCTGAATCCTCTAATTCAGCCCTTTTTTCTCTCTACATCTGGTTTTCCCTTTACTACCTCTAACACTCTCCAAGATAGTTTTCTTTACCTTAATATTATTCAAGTGTCACTTTTCATGTTGTTTGATATACAATTCAATGTCCATGTACTTTACAAAGATATTAAACAGCGATCTCAATCCTCTAGTAATTTTATACTCTGAAAGAGATAGCTGGGCGTGGTGATGCACACCTATAATTCCAGTGGCAGGGGAGGCTGAGGCAGGAGGTTAGTGAGTTCAAAGCCAGCCTCAGAAAATGCAAGTTGCTAAGCTACTCAGTGAGACCCTGTCTCTAAATAAAATACAAAATAGGGCCGGGGATGTAGCTCAGGGGTGGAGTGCCCCTGAGTTCAATCCCCAGTACCAAAAAATGAGAGAGAGAAAGAAACAGGGCCAATGAAAAAGGGACAGTAAAAACAAGTAAATGTGGGACTGGAGTTGTGTCTTTGTGGCTCAGTGGTAGAGCACTTGCCTAGCACATGCGAGGCCCTGGGTTCGATCCTCAGCACCACATAAAAATAAAATAAAGGTATTGTGTCCAACTAAAACAAAATATTTTTTAAAAAACAAGTAAATGTAAATAATCCAAGAGATTCTATAAAGTTATTAAAATTAATAAGAGAGCTCAGAAAGATTTTTAGGTATTAAATAAACCTTTTAAGGAGATTGCATTCTTTTTTTTAAGGCATGGATAGAGGTTTATTTAGGAAGGTAGATATACATTCAAGGGAGAATGTGGGCTCTCTCAAGAGTGAGAAGCAGCCCTGACTTGGGATGGGGGTACCATATTTATAGAAGGGCTGTATCAGGGACTGGACTGGAGGTGAATTCAGAGTGGAGCTGTACAATTTTAAGCCAGTTTTCCTGCACTTGAGTATTTCCCTCATTTCACAAGGGCATGGGCCAAGGGTGTGGGTCAAGGTTTGCAACTATGTTTTCCACATCTTAATGGCTTGAGAATGTTTCCCTTAAGATTCTAT